TTAAAACCCGGAACTCACTACAACATATCTGTAGTTTTAATCAATTTTTTCGGTCAAACAAACCGAACAAATCTATTTACAATAAGCACAACGACAACAGGCACTCCAATTTACTCAGGCCCAAATTTAAATTTGCTTGCGTTACTGGTTTTATTATTTATCATACCTTTGATTATAATTTTGTACATGTAAGAACTCATTTTTTTCATTTCAGTTAAAACGTTACTCATTTCTAGAAAAAGACAAGCTATCTTGAAACCAGGAGAAAAGACAAATCAAGTTCCAGATGTAAAAGATGACCAAATTCCTCTAACAGGTCTAAAACCCGAATCATCTGAAAAAAGAAACCCGGAAATTGAAGTGGTAAGCACTAATGCTAATTATGATAACAGACTTTTTTAATTTTTTAGAAAATCCATTCCAAATGCATTAAAATCACCGAATTTGAAGCGTATGTAAAAAAATCGATTCAAAGTGGCGAATTGGAACGCCAACACGCTGTAAGAAATTATTTCATTTGTTGCTATATTTTTCGTTTTATTTTAGTTGTTTCCTCGTGGCCAAACCAACCCCTGGAATTACGGTTCTTTGAAAAAAAACAAATCCAAAAATCGTCACAATAATTTAATAGCATGTGAGAAAAAACACTTCGAGAACACACTCATTACAATTTTTGATTTCAGACGATCACAGTCGAATTATTCTTGAAAAAATCAACGGGGATTCCCACTCTGACTACATCAATGCGAGTTACATTGACGTAAAGTTGAGTTTTTTCTTATTGACAATTTTGATGTTTTTTTGCAGGGTCACAAAATACCAAAAGCTTACATTGCGACTCAAAACCCTAAAGCCGCCACAGTTGACGATTTTTGGAGAATGATTTGGGAAAAAAATGTGATGCACATTGCGAATCTCGCCAATGTTTATGAAGGGGGAAAGGTAAAAAAATTGTCATTACCAACAAATTCCAATTTTTTTTTGTTCTAGAAAAAAGTCGAAAAATATTGGCCCGACATCAATGAAACCCTCAAATTTGGTCCCATTTCCGTTCAACACCTCTCAACTCAAGTTTTCGCCGACTACGAACATCGAACCTTCTCCATATCCCAAAACAACGAAATCAGAAAAGTACCACTTTACCCCCACTTGATTTTTTCACAAATTTGTCTTCAGGTCGACCAACTACACTTCATGTCATGGCCGGACCACGGAGTTCCTCTCTACTCCCAAAGCTTGGTACCCTTTTTGCAAAAACTCCTCAAAATCCCTCTCAGCACCACTTCCCCAATCGTGGTTCATTGCAGTGCTGGAGTTGGTGCAACCGGAACCATCCTCCTGTGTGATATCAGCCTGAGAATGGCAGCCCGCGAGGGCAGTATCGACGTTTTAGGAAATTTAGAACACATGAGACACCAAAGGGCCAACATGGTCGACAACATTAAACAGTACAAATTGGCCCATTTGGTGATTTTGGAATGTTTGGTTGGTATGCACACTAGTATCAACTGTAGCGAAATCAAAGACTCAGTTAACCGGATTTTGACAAATGGGACAACAACTTTACAGTTGAGATATTTAAAAGACACCCAATGGCAAGACCAAGCGATGAAAACAGTGGGACAAACCGATGAAGAAGTGCCCATAATTGAGGAAAAAAATCGCTTCAAGAAAATCATCCCTGGTAATAACAAACCCTCAAAATTGTCACACTTGATCCAATCTTTCAGAAATCCAAGGCCGGGTTTTTCTCTCCCGTTTTCCCAGCAATGATGACACTTCATCGTACATAAACGCGGTCAAAGTTGACGGTTTTCGGTCCCCTGGTCGATTTATAGTCACCCAACAACCAATGCCCAACACTGTGGGCGACTTTTGGCGACTTATCGACGAAAATAACATCAGTGTTATTTTGTCTCTCAACGAAGTGAATTTTGAAGAAAAGACTTCGTGTAGGTTTTGGCCCACACGAAGCCATCCTGAAATGACTCCAGTCCCCCACATCACCCTCAAATACATCAACATTACCCTTTTTGAAAGCTGCGATATCACAATCGTTCGCTTAATTGCAAATTCTAGGATCGATCATCTTTCAGTCCAAATAATTTCAGTCAAACATTGGCCACCGGGGAATCACTGCCCGGATAATATCGGTCATTTTCTAACATTTTGGGAGGAATCAAATGCGATAATTCGCACATCAAACCCAGTCCTTGTAACTTGCTTGTACGTAATGTTTGATTTTTTAATTTTTGACTATTAAAAATTTTTTAGTGATGGAGTTACAGCGTCAGGTTTATACGTGGCTTTGTCTTTCGTTATCGAAAAAATGAAATTAGAACAAGTTTGTGATGTTTGTCAAGCTGTAAGAAGTGTGCGACATAATCGAGAACAGTTTGTTCAAAACGTGGAACAGTTTGAGTTTTTGTATAAAGCGGCATTGCTTTATTTTGACAAATTTCAAGAATACGCCGTGATTGCGGATTACGTCAATTTTAATTAAAAACTTATTCCAACTAAGTACTTAAAAACAATAAATATTCTTTTTACTTTCTTTTTTTTGTTTATTAAAGATGTAATTCCTTAATAATCAGAATCAATAGTGTAAATAGAGGGCATTTGGCCCCACCACCCACTACTAATTTATAAATGTCACGTGTTCTATGACGTAGTTTGACATATGAGTCACGTGATCTCCGTTGTCTAAATAAATGTCCCTTCTCAAATGTAACTTGGGTTGGCGGCCATGTTAATTTTCATATTTTAAAAAATGTCAAAAATTCAAATTTTTAAAGTAGGGGATTTTTTTTTGACTATTGACGTAATCAATGAAGAATTACGCATTAAGATAGCCAGAAATTCCGATTAAAATAAAACAGTCTCAATAATAATAATAAATGTTTATTCAATTTTTATATTATTATTACTAAAATTTATAGCCAGAATAACCGAAAAATTGTTTCAAAAAACATACCCGTAGATATATATTCTATAAACATAACTTACAATAATACCGCTGAAACACATAATCAGTTTTTAGGAGGTTTTACTTTGGATATAATCACATTCACTTGTCCTGATGACTCTAACTCTAAAATAATTTTTTTTTGCAAAAAAGTCGTCTGGTAATTATGTTATTTACCACTAAATATAGTCATAGAGAATACTAATAATCCCTAAGAGCAAATGCAACTTTCCATGGACGATCATGAGAAGTACTTCCCCTTGGTTTTGATGTTGCCATTTCTGATCACAATTTGTCTACAGCGTTATTCATAAATATGAAGCAATAACTCATTTCATGTAACGCATGAAATGTTAGTATGGAAATTTGTTTTGTTGGTAATAACTTCAAAACTATTTGACCAAATTTTATAAAATTTCGAACAGTTGGAACAGTTACTTGCGAGAACATAGCTTTTGAGCTGGTAATTACGAAAACCGGATACATCTACGCAATTTCCGGTTGCTGCAGTTGCAGAACACATTTTCTGTATTTTTCCGTGTTTTGCTCCCTTAACAATATTTTTTTATTGATCAAATCTATAGAGTAATCAATTTTAAATAAAAAAGGCATAGCCTTTTACCCCACTAAAATGGACCGTTATATACTCGTTTTCATTATTTTCTGTTTTGCTTTAATCAAATTACATAAATGAAAATTGTTCAAAACTAGGTAATCTCTTTTACATACGTCAATTTTTCTTCATTTTTTTTCACAAGCACAAAAATTTTGCCTTGACATTATCATTTTAATTTTTTAAACTGTATTTCTGTCTTAATTCATTCAATTGCAGTTTATTTTAAGAGTAAAAATCGGTATTTCATTTATTTTATTCCCTAGGAATAAATTATCAGATTTTTAATCAAAAACGGGAGAATAAAAGTTCACTTGAGTTGGGATGAGGAAAAATATTTTTATAAACGTTTTATGTACATTTATTCTATCAGTTTTTATCAGAAATGTGTCAACCGGGAAACCTCATATCAGTTTTAGAAAGAAGGAAAATTAGTAACATGACGCATTTCAGTTTGCAATAATAAACTTCAACATTGAGACTATCGTGTGTGAACTTTAAAACATGTATCCAAAAAAGTGTGTATAAATCTGTTGCGTTTTATAAATCTGAATTTTGTGTTTTAGTGTGCTTTATGTGTGTTTGATTATTTGGTTTACAAAATCAAAAGGACAAAATGATTATTTTGTAACTAAAAAATATAATGACAAAAGTGTTTACTGCGTAACCAATAGTTCTTCCGCATTAAGTTGGGTAAAAGAACCCATAGAAGAAACGCTTTATTCAGGTAATAATAAAGTTCTTATAATAAAAAATAATGTGATAAAGCTCAAAATCTAATAGCTCAGTGCTGTTAAACAAACTTAAAAATTACATATTTTTTCGCACTAGTATAAATTCAAAATTGCTTATAAAACAGGAAAATTTTCACATTTCAGCTTCACGTTCGCAATTTATTCCGTCCACATCCAACAATAATTTTGATTGTACAATCGAAAAAAACGATAGAAATACTTTTGATTTCATAAAACCGCCTTGGATGGTAAAAAACTCTCTGGAAGCAAATTTTAATAAAGTTGTTTTAGATGAAAGATGGGAAGGTAGAACTTCTTTTAATTTAGTGAGTGAAAATAACATTAATTTTTTCAGAAATAAATATAGAAATGACGGAAGAAACTAGACAGAAGAAAAGTAAACTTTTAAAATATATTCCAGTTTTAGAAATAAATAATACAAATTTTGAAATTCCACTATCTATTCGTATTAAACAAGAAGCTCACATATTTCTATGCGATGGAGAAAATCCTCCAKATTCAAATTGTTACTGGCTTATGTTGCAAGCRTGGAGTGGAYACACTACAGCACTACGAAAATGTTCAGTTGAGGACATACCCAGTGAGAAAGAAAAATATCCTCAGAAAAAATCCTGTAAAGACCCAAAATTGTCTATTAAGGTTTATGTTATTTTRATTTTATTAACCAATTAACCCTGACACTYYAATATKATACTATTTTATAGCATCKAASAGTTCCTCYTTACCTTTTCGCAAACAAATGGAGCCACTTTAAACTTAAGAAAYAAGAAAACAAAATAACATTCACACAAATTAAGCGACATGCTTCTGAAGAAATCTTCAACTGGGAAGATAAAGAAGAAAATATAAACGTGAAACACATGATTATACACAGTAAGAC